TACAGTACTAACCCAGATTTCTGTTTTTTTTTTTTTTTTATCCAGAGGAAAAACATAGGTTTTGTCACTCGAGACATGTCTTAGTTTCTGCATTCACTTCTTTCTGCTTTCTGCAAACTTACTGTAGTTCTATGCCACATTTGTGGTGTAGATAATAAAGTTAGTGTTATGCCCCAAAAAATGTACTTTTCATAAAAACAGATTTATTCCAGTCTTACACAAGTACAACGTAATCATTCGCGAGCGAGTTTTACAATGTTCCAAAAGATGTACCAGGGAAAGCCAATATCGCCGTTAACCAGGAAGATGTCCAATGTTCGCTGTCGTAGTCCAGATTTTACCGTCCAGAATAGAGAGCCGGTTGAACTTCGCCGCTTCGTTCACGCGCACTCTTCGTCGCACTAATCACTATATCGCACGTATTCAATATACTATCGGGAGGAGCTGACTGACTCTCTCCAAGAGCTCTTCTTGCAGTTTTGTCAACGCACGGAGAGTGCAATGCACATTCACACCACCACGGTGAGACCATTCCTAGCCTTACGGGCATCTATGGCCAACCCTGCAACATGAAAAACAGAAGGTCAACCATGATTTTAGCATACTGGCGCGCGCATTGCGTGTTTGGAGATACTAAGATAATGTTTCAAGTCTCATTTCTCTGTTTCAGTTACTCTTACTCCACGAAGTGCTTCGGACGCCTATACGTGGCCCTTTGATCGGGTTGGTATGAAGCAATATCGGAAATGAGAGGATTTTCCCAGTGAGTTCCTTTTTCAAAAAAATTTTTAACGATATATTTGATATGATCTATCAGCAGGGCATTGATAATTCGCGATGTATATTTTCAATACGAGTGTTTCTAGGGGCGCAGAGGGCAACCCTAAGACATTCGTTTTGAACTACTTGCAGTTTATTCAGATGAGCAGTTGCTGCACTTGCCCAACTTGGGCATGCGTAGTCCAGTTGCGGCCTAGTTATTGCTTTATAAAGCGTGAGGCAGTTTGCCGTTGTCAGTTCGCTCTGCTTGGGAAACAAGCTTCGCAGTCTGCCTCGGGTCTACCGCGCTTTCTGTCGCACATTTTCGATGTGCAGATTATATGTAAGTGGGCTGTCTAATGTGGCACCTAAATATTTGACATGTTTTGCCCAATTAATCGTGTCTCCGCATAGCGCGAGAGGCCTTGGCTGCGTGAATCGTAGTCTCCGTGTGACGAGTACAGCTGCACTCTTACTCACATTGACTTTGACCCGCCACAGCTTCAGCCACTTCTGGATCAGTAGTAAATGCTTATCCAAGTACTTCGGGAGAAGCTCAATCTTTTTCGACGTGGCTATTATAGCCGTATCGTCGGCGTACAAGGCGAGTTCCGTTTGAGGGTGGGTGGGAATATCACGCACATAGAGGCTGAAGAGCGTAGGAGCAATCACGCCCCCTTGCGGCACTCCGGCTCGTATGGCTCGGCGGGTAGATTTAGCATTCAGAAGCGTCACTTGGAACGTTCTGTTTGCTAGGTAAGAGTGGATGAGGTGCACAAGGTATACAGGAAAGTTCATGGAATGAAGTTTGTAAAGGAGATCGACGTGCGAGACCTTGTCAAAGGCGCTGGCAACGTCGAGGAACACGCCACCTGTAAATCGACCCTGGTTGAAGTTGCGTCTTATGCGGTCCGTAATTCGCACAAGCTGATACGTTGTGCTATGTCCCGCGTGAAAGCCAAACTGCTCCTTATTTAAGAGTGAATTATCTGAAACATATTTGAAAATTCTGTTTTGAATTAGTTTTTCACAGAGCTTTCCGAGCGTATTTATTAGGCTTGTGGGCCTGTACGACTCGGCTTTTTCGGGTTTTCCCCCTGCTTGTGAAACGTCAGAACATGACTCGGAAAATGCTGAATCATGAATATAGCATTAAACAGAGCGACAAAGAACACTATGGCCTGCTGCGATAGCTTCTTTAGGACATCGTTAGAGATGCCGTCGGGGCCGGGAGCTTTTCGAGTTTTCAGCTCCGAGATGGCCGCTTTTACTTCAGTCTCTGCAGCGAAATTCGGCTCGTCGGCTGGCGCGTGCAAGGCCGCCATTACCGTTTGTTGTACTTCGACAACGTGCGATATTGGCGGCGCCTCCTTGACCGGCTTAAACTGAGATTCTAAGACATTAGCTAGGAGTTCCGCTTTCGTCTCGTTCGATTCTGCGAATTCTCCTGTGCTGGTCTGAAGCGGCGGCACTGTTATTGGAGTCCTGGAAAGCATGCGAGAGACTCGCCATAGTGAATTATCTTCAGGTTTGAGACCTGACAACAATTTAGCCCATTTCTGATTGCGGTATTCAGCTAG